GAACTTTTGCAAGTTGTTTTCCTTCTTTCTTTTTTTTTTTTTTTTAAATTAAATCATAGCTGTGTGCCTTAATGCAATCATGAAGTACAGTGTGGTGTTTTCATATACAATTTGAAGTATTTTCATCAAACTGGTTAAGCAAGTTGTTTTCTTACTGATGTTCTTTTCCAGCAAAAAAAGTTCATCTGCAGATAACTGAAATGTTTGGCTGAAGCTAGAGGTTATTTTAGTGTAGGAGTAGGAGGCTGCCATTGTATTCTTCATAGTGTTTGTTACCTTAGGCTCACATTCTGTTACTGGTCCCTAGCTCTTCTGCAATCTAAAAAAATATCCCCCTTGGCTAGGATTCTTCACTTCCACTGTCTGAGTCCTGGGCCTTTAGCTCAGTCCTGCTACTCTTTCAGGTTTGGTTATTGACCATATTTAACAGATAGTCCTTACTATATATTTGTTTGCTAGGAATTAACATATTCCAGCTTGATCATTTTGAGTTTTTTTTTTGAGACATTCTCACTATGTTGCCCTCAGTAGAGTGCTATGGCATCATAGCTCACAGCAACCTCCAACTCCTAGGCTTTAGCGATTCTCTTGCCTCAGCCTCCCAAGTGGTTGGGACTACAGGGGTGTGCCACAAAGCCTGGCTAGTTTTTTTGTTGTTGTTGCAGTTGTTTAGTTGGCCCGGTCCAGGTTCAAACCCACCAGCCTTGGTGTATGTAGCTGGCGCCATAACCACTGTGCTATGGGCGACAGGGCGCCAAGCCAAGTATGAACTTTTTTTTTTTAGAAATAGAGTCTCACTTTATTGCTCTCAGTAGAGTGTGGTGGCGTCACAGCTCACAGCAACCTCCAACTCTTGGGCTTAGGCAATTTTCTTGCCTCAGCCTTCTGACTAGCTGGGACTACAGGCACCCGTCACAACGCCTGGCTATTTTTTGCTGTAATTTGGCCAGGGCCAGGTTTGAACCCGCCACCTTCGATATTTGGGGCCAGTGCCCTACCCACTGAGCCCACAGGCGCCGCCCCAAGTAGGAACTTAATAAAATGTACAGTCATTAACTTTATCAGGTTTCTTTATACACAGAGTCAGATTCTTATTGGAGAAATAGAATAAAGAATTAAGGCTGGTTGCATGGCTCATGCCTGTAATCCCAGCATTTGGGGAGGCAGAGATGAGAGGATTATTTGAGCTCAGAGGTTCAAGACCAGCCCAGGCAACACAGTGAGACCTTACCTATACAAAAACAGTTTAAAAATTAGCTGGGGGGCTCGGCGCCTATAGCTCAACCGGCTAAGGCGCCAGCCACGTACACCTAAGGTGGCGGGTTCGAATCCCCAGCCCGGACCCGCCAAACAAC